CCCTCTCTCTCTCTCTCTCTCTCTCTCTCTCTCTCTCTCTCTCTCTCTCTCTCTCTTTCTTTCTTTCTGTGTTGTTGTTGTTAGTTTTTTGTTTTTGTGGGGTTTTTTTGAGACAGGGTCTCTCTCTACGGTCCTGGCTATCCTAAAACTCACTATATAGACCAGGCTGGCCTCAACCTTACAGAGCTCCTCCTGCCTCTGCCTCCCGAGTGCTAGGATTAAAGGTGTGCCACCACATCTGGCTTCCTCATTTGTTTGTTTATGAGGCAAGATCTTGCTGTCCAGTTCACGCTGGCCTTAAATTCATAATAGTGCTCCTGCCTCAGCCTCCCTAGTGCTTTGAGTAAAGGTATGAGCCACTGCACCCAGCTTCTTTTTGCGTTTTCTGTACCCCCTGCCCCTTCATGTGGGGAAGAGTGTGAGCACCCTTAAGAGATCTGCCTTGCTACTTCCAGGAGTGCTGACAGCAGGGCCAACCTGTGTGGCTCCCTGAATCCTTTCCTGCCAGTGTCCTCTGTCCTCCCTGGTACCCTTGCTCTGCCTGGTCATCTGCTCTTTGTTCCCTGCCCTTTGCCCTTTGCCTCATGCTTCTGTGATGGAGTGCAGACTGCCAGTGGCCTCACAACCCTACACTGCTGAATGTTCAAGACATTCATCCCAGGAGGGCTAGGACAGTCGTTTTCTCAGCCAGCACGAGTACAGTTGGAACATCTTTCACACCAACAGTGGGAGATGGCAACTCATGGATCCTGCTCTGCAAGGCTGGCTTTGACCTCAGGGTGCTGATCGGTCCTGCCATATTGCCATGTGTGCTTGCATGAAACCTAGCCCATGTGTGGATGTCCTTTCTCTTAGGTATTGCTGGAGGAAGCAAAGGACTTGCTTTCTGACTGGCTGGATTCTACAGGTGGCAGTGAGGTGACTGACAATTCTATTTTCTCCAAACTGCCCAAGTTTTGGGAAGAAGAGTTCCACAAAGACATGGAAGCCCTGAATGTGAGTGTCTTGGATTGCCTGGTCCTTGCTTTCTCAGGCCAAGCCCTGCTTTCCAAGTTCTGATTTTGGTAAAGCCACAAAGCCTGTGATCCACAGTGTCTTCATTTTGCAAGCTCGGTGAGTGGCTAAGTAAACGTTGAACTTGAATGAGGGGTGAGGAGATGCTTCTCCTTGTTGAGTGGTCTCGTGTGTATTCCCATGCCTGGCACTTAGGGCTTCCTAGAAAAGAAGTCAGAAACCTGGAGTGGAAGCCAGCTGTGGCAACACACTCCTGTGTTCCCAGCACTCAGGAGGCAGATGCAGGAAGATCTCAAGTTCATGGCCAGTCTGAACTGTGTTGTGTGATCCTGCCTCAAAAAATAAAAAAGCCTTTAATCCTAGCAGTTGGAAGGCAGAGGCAGATAGATATCCCCTGGTCTCCAAAAAGAAAAAAAAAAGAAAAAAAGATACGCAAGCAAATGGGGGATCAAGTGGGATGAGGACTCTGAGAAGGCAGGACAAGTCCGTGTCACAGTTTTCATGACTGCCCAGAGGCCAATGTCAGGTATCCTAAGCCTCCTCTGCCTGCTGGTCCAGACAGGGAAGGACAAGTCTTTCAGTCTTCCCTGTGTTTCCTTTCCTGCTGAAACATTTTTCTAGCCCTTTCCTTTTATTTTGAAACAGGGTTTCGATGAGCTTTCCTTGTGGGTCTTGAACTTGTGATCCTCCTGCCATGGTCCCCCAAGTAGTTGGAATGCTGTGTCTGTGCTGTTGATTCTGGCAGTCGTGTGGTTTCCAGGGAGTGTACTCAGTGGAGGCTGAGGTCTTGAGACTGGTCGGGAGAAAGCGCTGAGACTCTGTCCCCACAGGTTCTCCCTCCTGATGTCCTGACCCGGGTCAGCGAGTATGTGCCAGAAATTGTGAACTTCGTCCAAAAGATTGTGGACAATGGTTACGGGTGAGCATGAGAAACCTCCCCTCCTCTCCCCTGCCAGGCCAGTCAGCTCCATGGGGAGAGTCTAGATGCGGGGCCACACCTCCCTCCTCAGCACAGCACCTGACTAACTCTGCATTTCACTCCAGCTCTGCTGCAAGAACTTGGATTTCTATAAGGATGGTTCATGACATACATGGTACATGCCATTGTCACAAGCATTTAACTGGGAAAATTGAGTCAGGAAGCTAGCTCCCAACAGCCATTCTTTTGAATGTTGGAAGGCCTATGCTCAGGTGTCCTAAGGCTCCTCCCCCTGCAGGCCCCAGACTGGAAAGAAAGGTCTTTCTGTCTTCCATGTGTCTCTTTTCCTGCTAAGTCAGTCAGGGTGGGGAACATCATGCTACTGAGCAATGAGAATTCTTAGTGGCCCAGTGGCCTCTCCTGGCTGTTACCAGGAAGACCTGGCCCTGTTTCTGCTTGAAAGCTTTTAGAGTCAGGGTTAAGTCATTGGGGCCAGAGCGGCATGATAGTAAGCTTGGACACTGCAGGGCCCCTGGAAACATCGGTACTATTCAAACCCTTTGTATGTGTCCTATTACCTGGCTGTGACTTTAGTGCAGACATTACCCAGCTCAGGGTTACTGCTACAGCATGCCCAGCATGCTAGAAATGCTGACTGACGTGTGGGAACTTGCCCACATCCAACATTAGGAGTTATGGATGAGACCCTGGCGCCTACTGCTGCTGCACTACTGGACCTGGCCTCAGGTCACTTCTCTACTCGTTGGCTGCACAGGCTAGAGAAAAGAGGACTGTTGACGGTGTGTGCTACAGAGCTATCTCCGAAGTGACAGTGCCACCTCACCCCATGTGACACATGGCTGCAGGGCAGCAGGAGACACTGGTCCAGCCAAGTGGCAAGCCTGGGTCAGGGAGGACACTCCTGTGCTAGAATATGCTAGCGACACATGGAGAGCCATGACAGGATCACAAAGTAGATAGAATGCACAGAGAGAGAGAGAGAGAGAGAGAGAGAGAGAGAGAGAGAGAGAGAGAGAGAGAGAGAGGAGAAGGTGTGTCATATCAGGTTGCGAGCTACAGTGCACCAAGCAGAGGGTCTGTGTGGGACACCCTGCCTGACACTGAGGCTGGCCATCTCTGCCTCAGGCGGCATCCCTGTTGTTCCTACTCAGCCCTTGCAACTCTGGCTTCTGACTTGCTGCAGAGGGCAGAGACTTGGTGGCCTTGGTCCTTGGCCCTTCCCGACCCTCCAGGCTTTCCCATAAGTGCTGTGGTGTGTCTGAGAGCACCTTTCCTCTTATTTCCAGCTATGCTTCGAATGGGTCAGTCTACTTCGACACAGCCAAGTTTGCTGCTAGTGAAAAGCACTCCTATGGGAAGCTGGTGCCTGAGGCCGTTGGGGACCAGAAAGCTCTTCAGGAAGGGGAAGGTAAGAGCTCCTGCAGCATGTGTGGAAGCAAAGCTAGGCTGCTCTTCCTCACTCACAGCCTACACCAGGTCTCTACCTCTGGGTCCTGGTGGGTGCCCATGTACACTTCACAGACACATGGAGAGCAGGCTGCTTCCCCTAAAGGAGTCTCAGGGGTTTTCTGCTCAAGATGGTGTCGCTTAAGAAACAGAAGTTAGCACTGCACTGAGAGTCCTGGGCCTTCAGCTGCTGTGGCAGGCACTTGTCAGAGAGGCCCTGGCCCTGGCCCTAAGCTATTCTGATGGAGCACCTGACACGGAGGCCTCAGGGCCTGCCTGCCCTACTATGACAGAGTATATGACTTAGATGTGTGTGCAATGATGTGTGTTAGGCGATCTTTTTTTTTTTTTAAGATTTATTTTTATTTATTTATTTATTTATTATGTATACATACAGTGTTCTGCCTGCATGTATGCTTCCATACCAGAAGAGGGCACCAGATCTTATCACAGATGGTTGTGTACTGGGAATTGAACTCAGGACCTCTGGAAGAGCAGTCAGTGCTCCCAACCTCTGAGCCATGTTTAGCACCATGTTTAGCGATCTTATTTCAAGTGTTCTAAACATGGGTGTCAGCATTTTCCTGGATCAGGCAGGATCACATGACAACATTGTTCAGAAGTCTTTACCCACAGTGAAGCTAAGGACCGTCTCACAAAACCCAACGTTGGGAAAGCACACCATTAAGATGAGGAGAAACTTTGATGCCAGATATATCTCCCACTGACCCCTTATTTCTAGAGGTTGAATTAGCCATGAAAATGTAGGCTTTGTATAGAAATATCAGCTGCGGGGCTCTATTTTAAAGAAATATCAGAATTTGAAAAAACAGAAAATAAAAAAATTAGAAAAAATCTGGGTGGTGGTGACACATGCCTTAAATCCCAGCACACAGGAGGCAGATCTGTGAGTTTGCGGGTAGCCTGGCCTACAGAGTGAGTTCCAGGATAGCCAGAGCTGTTAAACAGAGAAACTCTGTCTCAAACCCTACCCCCCCCCCCAAAAAAAAAATCAGAATTGAAAAGTTCAACAAACAAAACACGGAAACCTTGACAAGAGAGAAGCTAAGCCAGTTCAGCATTGATACTGGGTCCGGTGGTGAATAGGTGTCGTGTTCGGTATTAAAGAGGTGGCTTTATAGTGATAAAGCTGAGAGGGCTCCAGGGCCAGACACCAACACAGCCTAGAGCAGCCTTACATCCTTTGCAGAAACACAGAGGCTGGGAGGCAATGGTTAACAGCGGAACAAAATTTCAAATGTATTAACAGGCATGGTTGAAGGAATCAAACTGCATCTTTCTCTGTTTAAATTTTGTTTTTAATGTATATAGTATTTGCTTACATATATGTCTGAGCACCATGTGCGCCTGGTGCCTGAGAAGGTCAGAACATAGGGATGTCAGACCCCCTGAAATTGAAATTACAGATGGTTTTGGACTGCCATGTAGGTGCTGGGAACCGAAGCCAGGTCCTCTCAGAGAGCAGCCAGTGCTCATAAACACTGAGCCGTCTCTCCAGCCTCTGGGATCCTTCCTTTTAAGCCCCCAGACCACAGGCCGGGTACAGAAGAAAGTTTGAGAGTAGTCCCAAACAATCCTTTCATTGTCCGACCAAGGTGCAAGTCTGCAGGCCTTTGTGCTCCAGGGATGGGAGACTGGCAAACTATCTGAGGTTTCTACTCCTGAGTCCCTCAGAGGCACAGGAGGCAGGTGTAATGCTGGCCACTGAGCATGTGTCAGAGGCACGGGAGGCAGGTGTAATGCTGGCCACCGAGCATGTGTGTCTGTGAATAAGCCAAGAGAAAGGAATGAACCAGGCAGTAAGGCAGAAAACTAGCAGAGAGGGGCAGTGCATGGAGAGCCAGCAGAGGAGCAAAGGTAAAGAAAGGCAGGTTAGTGGAGGACTTTGTAAGCTAGAAGCTGGCTCTCCGCAGACAGAAACATGAAAACCTGGCTGCCACCTAAAGTGCAAAAGAGGCCAGCTGAAAGAGCTGATGTGCAGCCTCAAGAACTGTGGCTCTGGCTGCTTCTTGCTGACAGAGGAACGGCAGGAAGAACTGGAGCCAGGCTGAGGTCTGTCCTGAGTGCCTCATGTATCTGCATTTCTCTTGAAAAGATTATTTTCATTCTGCAGATGAGCACACCAGATTGTCTCTGGGCCAGGAGGTGATGGCGGAGTCCTGCCAAGTGTTCTGCGTTCAGTACATGTCCCACATCTGGAGCTGATGTTATAGGATGCCCTAGCAGTGCCTCCCTCCGCCACAGCTTAGGGGCATCAAGCCTGGGCACTCAGTTCCTGAAAGATGGAACTGCATTCAGATCCCAAGTTAGCAAGTGTCCTTCCTATTCCAGGGCTTCCAAAGGACCCCCTGGATACAAGGATCAGGAAGATGCTTGCAGTTCAGGGCCTAAGTCTGGGGTGGAAAAAGGTGTTTGCTCTATCCATTCACCTAACATAGGCTTGTTCATCCGTGTTGGGGACCAAGTTCCCCTCTCCACAGCAGCTCTATCTACAGGTCCTTCATGTCACTTCATGTGACAGTGCTATCCTCTTGGCTCTCCAGCCATCTTTTACTTGTGTGTTGCTGTCCAAGTGCCTCTGGCTAGTGGTTCCCTCCACTACCCCCTGGGGGTCTCAGAGGATCTGCCTGGAAATGCACCCAGCAGGCACCTTGTTCACATGACTGAGGCATTCACCTGGTGCTTTGGGAATGCAAGAAGGAGTGTCACCACTGACCTCCTGTGCTGTGCACAAAGTGGTGCACAGCAACTCATCCATGCCTTCGCTCTTCTGGAAACCAGCGTACTGGCAGCTATGTGTGTTGTTGACCCTGGGTGCACCAGTGAGCCGCACACCTTAGCTTCAGCCCAGAGTGCAATAATCTCTCCTACAGATATGGAGTTCAGAGCTGAAGAGGCAGGTGTATCTCTAGGACTGCCAAAGTAGCGGAGACCCTGGCCCAGAATCAGACTTAAGAGCTAATAGGTAGTGATTGCTGTTCATGTCTGTCACAAGTTAATTGGTTAACGAGAAAGATTGGCCATAGACACACAGAGTGCCTATGAGGTAAGGTGCTAACACTCCTGTAGGCACCTGTAAATGACCCTGCCCGCTTCTCTTAACCGTTCACATTCACAGGTGACCTGAGCATCTCCGCTGACCGCCTCAGTGAGAAACGTTCTCCTAACGACTTTGCCCTGTGGAAGGCCTCCAAGCCAGGAGAGCCATCCTGGCCTTGCCCCTGGGGAAAGGTGAGTGAGCCACTGTTGGGATCAGGGACAGTGAGAAGTGGTGGTGTCACAGGCTGCTATCATAGCTTTCTTAGTCCTCTAATAGGTAGCTCTGGCGATTGGGTGGGTACTGGGGCCAGACCAGGTGTCAGGGCAGCGAAGAAGAGCTGCAGGCTCACAGATGCTGGGCCTCTAAGTTAGCGGCTTATCTTCTCAAGACTCGGTTTCCTGATCTCTAAGTGGGTGCAATCCAATTAGTTGCCTCAGGCTTCTGCTCTGGGTGTCTATGCATGTTAAGTTGATGTTGTTGGCATTGGAAATCCAGATGACTATGTGACAACCTTGTGACAAGTATTGTGTGTGTGACTATTTGCCACTTGTTGAGTGCTTGGGGATCTAGAAATAATTCCCAGGATTTAGCTAAGCCACAGCCACAGAGACTGACTTTGAACTGTTATAAATAGATTCTCCTTTAGTTTGTCCTGTGAAGATCTGAAACCACTGCAGCGAGATTCAGAGTCTTAAAGGTCATTTCCTTGAGGAGTAAAGTCCTGGGCAGGTTTGGAGTGGTCAGCAAGGCCCTTTGTGTCTCTCTAGGGTCGTCCGGGATGGCACATAGAGTGCTCCGCTATGGCAGGCACACTCCTGGGAGCCTCAATGGACATTCATGGCGGAGGGTTTGACCTCCGTTTCCCCCACCATGACAATGAGCTGGCGCAGTCAGAGGTAGGTAAAAACAGGTTGCTGTGCTAAAAAGGGAGTTTGATGTCCTTCCTGCTCTGCTGTTGAGACAGCAGCAGCACCTGAAGGAAGAGCCTCCTGATGAACATGACTTCCATCTTGGGAACTGAGGGAGAGTTGTATCCTAATCATTTTGTCTGAATCCCAGTGGTAACAGCTTGGCCTTCGGTAACAGACAGGCTTAGGGTAAAACCAGTTGTATCCTGCTGGCATTGTCACCAGGGTGTTCCCTTCAAGCCCCTGGTGCCCGCCCCCCCCCTCCACTTAGGAGCGGTGGCATGTACCTCATTCATGGTGCACACAGCAAGACACCATGTGTTGTATTAGGAGCGGCGGGGTTGCGTCCCCAACACCCCGGCCACTTGGCTAGCTCATGCCCGAAATAACAACACACAAACTGTATTCATTTAAGAACTGCTTGGCCCATGAACTCTAACCCTTACAGGCTAATTCTCGCACCTGGACTAGCCCATTTCTAATGATGTGTGTAAGCACCCCAAGGTGCGCTTATCGGGAAGATTCTAGCCTAAGTCCATCATGGTGTCTCTGCTTCATGCGTCTGCCTCAGAGCGCATAGCTATCGTGTCTATCCGGCAGAGCTGAGCATGGCGTCTCTCCGGGAGCAGAGCAGAGTCTGACCTCACTTCCTCTTCCGCCCAGCATCCTATTCTGTTTATTCCGCCCACCTATGTTCTAAGCTATGAGGCCAAACAGTTGGTTTATTATTACTTAACCAATGAAATCAACAGATTGATATATGACACTCCCACATCAACCATGCATTCATTGTCCAGAACCTTCTGACAGGTGAGGCCTCACTACAGCAGTTAAGCCTTGCTCCTGTCTCTTTGTCCTCAGGCTTACTTTGAAAATGACTGTTGGGTCAGGTACTTTCTGCACACGGGCCACCTGACGATAGCAGGCTGCAAGATGTCCAAGTCACTGAAAAACTTCATCACCATTAAAGATGCCTTAAAGAAACACTCAGGTAAGCAGAAGTCCTGCAGGAACCCATGGTGCAGGCACCGGCAGCTGCTCAGGAGTAATGGCGGCCATGTGTCTGCTCCCCAGCTCGGCAGCTGCGGCTGGCGTTCCTCATGCACTCTTGGAAAGACACACTGGACTATTCCAGCAACACTATGGAGTCTGCACTTCAGTATGAAAAGTTCATGAACGTGAGTGCCCGGTTCTTGCTGGAGGTGGAGGGCATTGTGAGTGGTGTGGGTCTTCTAATGTAAGCCAGGGCACAGTGATGCCATTTGGTGCCCCTTCCTGGAACTGATAGCTGCAGAGTGAAGGCCATGTTCACACGTGGGACCTTTCATTCTGACTCAGGCTTCCTGCCCCGGGAGTTGTCATGTTCCTGTCCCAAGGAAGAAGTGTTCTATGTCTTTTGGACCTGTGTGCATTGTGCTGACAGATCTCCCCTCAAGTGACAACTTGTCAGTAGAATGTCAAGTCTCTCTAGGTAGAAGGTTCTTCAAATGCCATTAACCTGACTTCTATAACTTTAGGAGTTTTTCTTAAATGTGAAAGACATCCTCCGAGCTCCTGTAGACATCACTGGCCAGTTTGAAAAATGGGAAGCTGAAGAAGTGGAGCTCAATAAGAAGTAAGGTGGAGCCTTTTCCTTGGGGGGAGGGGGAGAGAGAGAGAGAGAGTGTGTGTGTGTGTGAGAGAGAGAGAGAGAGAGAGAGAGAGTGTGTGTGTGTGTGTGTGTGTGAGAGAGAGAGAGAGAGAGAGAGAGAGAGAGAGAGAGAGAGAGAGAGAGAGAGAGAGATATCTGGGCCACCAACTGAGGGTCTCTGCCATGGCTTGTCCTGTAACTGATGATGAGGCCAGCCCTGTCATATGTCAGAAGTGCAGTGCCTGCTGATGGCAGTGATTCTGATTGTTGGGCTCGAGAACTGCTGTGGTGGAGCATCAGGTTTGACCATTGCTTTCATTTTTCTTCTTACTCAGCTTCTATGACAAGAAGACAGCAGTTCATGAAGCCCTGTGTGATAACATTGACACGCGCACTGCCATGGAAGAGATGCGGGCTTTGGTCAGTCAGTGCAACCTCTACATAGCAGCCAGGAAGGCTGAAAGGAGGAGGCCCAACCGGGCTCTGCTGGAGAACATTGCCATGTACCTCACCCACATGCTGAAGGTGAGCCTGGCGACGGGCCCATGGGGGGACCTTAGCTGCTGAGTGATGCTGGAGGCTGCCCGAGCTGCCTGACACCATCCTGGTCTGGGGCCTCTCTGAACTGTGGTTAAAGCCTCAGAGCCTTCTGTAGTCACAGCTGTTGGTCCCTGCTAAGCCAAGGCCAGTGATAAGACCTTGACTCTGAGCAAGTCTTGTGCAGAGAAATTCTGGCTCCAGGCTACCATACCCTGAGACAGCACTCTTTCCCAGGCCAGAGGGACCTTCCCTGCCTTGCCCTTTTGTCCTTGTCATTAGTCTCTGGTGACTTTTAGCTAGAAGAGGGTTGGATCTGTAGCTCTGAGCCAGGGCACATTGTGAATGGATGCAGGTACCCTGGGATGCGGTTATTAGGCTTGATGGCTGCTCTTTCCTGTTTCTCCGCAACCAGTCATGGGGACCCACATGTCTGTCCCCAGAGACGACAGGACAGTTCTTGAGCTACTGGCCATAGGTGACACCTCACCTCTATATATATATCTTCTTCACCCTACAGTTTAAGTCCTATCTGTTTCTTCCCTCAGATCTTTGGGGCCATAGAGGAGGAGAGCCCCCTGGGTTTCCCAGTTGGTGGACCTGGAACCAACCTGAATGTAAGTAGAGTGCCCAAAAGGATCCCCAAGTGGCCCACTGCTGCCCCCCTCTGATTCTCCCCTGTCTGCAATACCTCGAGACCACCTTTCTTTTCACAGTAATTCTCTGTATGCATGTCTGCCTGTGTGTCTTTGTGTGTGTGTGAGAGAGGTCAGAGGTCAGCCTCAGAAGCCACCTGCCTTGTTTTTGGAGTCCAGGTCTGTCATTGACCTGGAACTATTAGGCTTGACTGTTTTACCATGAAGCTCCAGGTATTCACCTGTCTGCACCCCCGGCACTGGGATCATAAGCGTGTCCCATCACCCTGGCTTTTTCATGTAGGTGGTGGGAATCAAGCTCAGGTCCTTATGCTTTCCCAGGAGCACTTTCCCAACAGCTGTCTCCTCAGTCCTGCTCTGGAAATTCTAAGTCACCTGGAGGTTGTTTATAATCCTGTGTTATAGATGCTGTGCAGATGGTTACATTGTGTAGTTTGGGGAATGATGGTACATGTTCAGTACAAACACACAACTGTTTTTCCTCCGAGTATTCAACCTGAGAATGTGGAGTGTGGATGCTGTAATCAGTGGGCATATTCTGAAAGGTCATGTGATCACATACCACACTGGTATCTTGGGGGAATTCCCACTCTCCCTCTGCCACTCAGAACTGGGCAGAACCCCGTGCCAGGCTAGGTCCAGTTCTCAGAGCCCACCACATAGCCCAGGCCTCTGTTCCAGCAGCCAGTGCCAAGAAAATGGAAAACCATGGTCCCATAGAGCATCCATGTACCATTCTTAAGCATACAAGGAAGCCCCTGTTAGAGCAGACCCATGTCCACTGCTGGCTTCAGCATTTGCAGGTCTAGTGGGCTGACAGACACACGTGTCAGGAATTGTCCTCTGCAAGCTGAGGACAACTCATTTAAGATTCCCCTCCGCCTTCCTTCTGCGGAGAGTGCTCTTTAATTACAGAATTAAGACAGCGGATATAAATATTTAGACGGAGCATCTGCTGTGCTAATGCCAACAGTAGCTCAGTACACATGGCAAGACGAAGCTGTCTCAGCGCTGCTTCCTCCCGAAGAGCAGCCAAGTGGTCTCTCCTCCTCACAGGGCTGTCAACGCCGAGTCCCATGAAGGAAGAGGTCTGTTAGTCTCAGAGTGAGCTGTTTTTGGGGTGGTGGCTTCTGGACTTTGCTGATAGGAATCACTGCTGGAGGCTGGAGCTTTTTAGAAATTCATGCAAAGCTCCTCTGTCCTCTTAACAAACATGCTGCCAGCTTTCTTTTTAATTGTGTGTATCTGGGGGCGGGGTGTATGCATATGATTACAGGTGTCCTCAGACGAGGTCATCAGAGTCCCTGGAGCTGGTAGTGATATAGGTGCTAGGAACTGGATCCTCTGCAAGGCCCTAGCGTGTTGAGCCATCTCTCCAGCCCCGCTCTTTTCTCTGAAAGCAGAAAACAAGACATAGCTCCCATGGAAATCATTCTGCCTCTGAACTTAGAAGTAGCTTTTCGTCTCCAGCAGTGCCTGGGAGGCATCTTAGGGTATGTCACATTATACATCCCAGATGGTCTCATTAGCCCCTGAAGTTGACTTATAGGAAACAGCAGCCACTAATGAGCGTGGTAAGCCTGTGAGGCCACTCATCCTATCCCACGGCTCCCATTGTGAAGATCAGGGGTGACTTCCAGGTTAAAAGTGCTGTGTGAGCCAGAGAGGCTGACTTGGGCCTAAACCTCTCCTACTCAGGTAGAAGCCAGGCAGCAGGATATCAGCCCCAGAACTGTTGGAGACAGACCCTGCCCTCTGTCAAGAGGCCTCTTTGGGTACTGGGAGCCAAGTTGGTGGTGTGGTGATTGGCCTATTTAAGCTGTTCAAGGCGGTTAGAGATAAGGTCTAATTCCACTCTAGAAGTCCAGAGCCGCTGCCATAGTGAGTCAGTTTCCCTCAGTCTGTTTGGTGGAAGGTCAGGCCTACTTAGCTCAGACTTCAGGTCTCTCCTTCCAGCCACTGTTTCTACCACTTTCTTTTCTTGGTTCTTGAGCTGTTATGTAATTGAGACACAGGAAGATCCTGATTAGAAGTCCCAGACCTTTTTGGTCCTGGAGATAGAGAAATACACTGAAAGATGGTTATAAATTCAGATTCCTGATTGGGTCTTTCCAGGTGTGGCTCTAGGTCCCCTGGTTTTATCCTTAGTGTCATTGGAGGTAGTGGCCCTTTGTACAGCGATTAGTGTGTGTGTAAGTTAATAAGATGACTAGCCCTCAGCAGGCCCACAGGTGACCACAAATGGTCAGTGCATCCCGACAACCCATTGGAGACGGATAGGATAGGTGTCTGACAACTGTGTCTGTCCTGAGGAAAACACACGTGTCAGCAGTGGACAGAGTAGTGTCTGCTGAAGGTATCCAGCTTGAAGCCCAAAGGTGCTTTTCTTTTTCTCCCTGGCTCACATCACCTTTATTAAGTACTAGGAGCTGAGGTCAGTATTATGGTGACTAGCTTCCTCAAGCTGTCCAAGAGGGCTGTAGATAGGGTCTAACTCCGCTCTAGCACATGTAACTCTCTTACCCCGACATGACAAGGACTTGTGGGCTTCTGGACACAGGATACAGCGGCATGTAACCTGTGGCACATCCACTGAACTGCTAGGTATTCTTTTACAAATACAGCAACGGCTCTTGTGACTCAGAGTCATTCTTTCCACAGCTCGAGTCCACCGTCATGCCCTACCTGCAGGTACTGTCAGAATTCAGAGAAGGCGTGCGGAAGATTGCCCGAGAGAAAAAAGGTGAGGCCCCATGCTGGGTACCTCGCCCTTGCTGCTCACCCTCTGCTGGGTTCCCTGGGATAACTGCCTTGTTCTTTAAGTGTGTATAGCTTCATGCCTATCTGAACCTGTTTTATTCCACTAGCCCTTCAGGGCAGCATTGTACTAGGTCAGAGTTTCCTGTGACTTAGAACATCTCAGGCAGAACCGTTCCTTGGTCCTGAGGTCCAGGAGTCTGCATAGCTCTTGTTCTAAACAGAGGCAGAATAGAGGACTGTTCACAGCTAGCATGCACTTGCCCTTTGGCTTGCATTGGGTCTCCTTTCTGTTCCCGGTGACCCACGAGTGGCTTATCCTGCTGCAGTCTCAGGTTGCTTGGAAAAGCTCGTGCTGGGGCCGGAGCTAGAGTCATGTCTCTACCTGGCCTGGTGCATGGTGGAGCCAGGCTGTCTGTGCACACCCATCCCTTCATCGCCAAAGTGAGGAGGTACATGGTTTGAGAGACACAGGATTACTCAGGGTGCCAAGAGCCACACCATCATTTGTGCCATGGGAATCTCCTGCTGCTGGCACCGGTATCCCCGGGAGGTACCCTGACTTGGAACCTTGTCCAACAAGGCAAGGGCGGCCTCTAACTCAAAAGAGCCTCTTCTGCGCAGTCCTCTAGTCGACTTCCATCCTGGCCCCAGACTCAGCAGCTAGATTCAAACCCAAACTTCCATGGCATTGGGGATCCCAGAAGCCTCGCTGTGTCCTCTGTGTCATGTAGGTGTCAGCACCAGGCTTCTCCCAGTAAGGGACTAGACTCCGACAGGCATATAATTTATCAAGGTGGATAGTGTGTAACAAAAGCAATCTTTAGATCAGCTCTCTGCATTTGGTGCAGCTTTCTTGTGCAGCTCCACCACCCATCAATCCTGTGTGCGCCCCTCACTGTCACACAGTGCTGCTGTGGCTGCGCAGACTGCCCCACTGCAGCCTGTCATGGAGCATGGCGTCTTTGAGGTCTGTCTGTCCATGCCACAGCTGGCATCTGTTCTGTTCACTCTCGAGGCTCAGTGGATTGCTAGCTCCTGTCCATAGCTCTTACTTTCTCATTGTTCCTTGTTTGATAGTCGTGAATGGTGCTGCCGAGGTCAGCACGCCAGGCACTCAATGGAAGTGGATTTTGGTTTTCTAGGCTTGCCCATGGGAGTGGGAGTATAGGGCACCTGGGTCCCTTATGGCAAGTACTAAGAAGATGCCAGCTTCTTTGTGGGGCCCGCGCTAAGCCATGCTCCTGACCAGCAGCACAGGTTCTGGCTTCCTACCTCCTACTTTCTGGATCAGTATCTGTTTCTACCTTTCTAGTTCTACCTTTCTCTCCTCCTCTTCCACTTAAAAAACTTGCGTGTGCCTTTTCACACGTGTGTGGAGGCCAGAGGTCAAGTTTAGGAGCCATCCACCTTATGAGACAGATTCTCTCACTGGGACCTGGAGTTACTGATTCAGCATGGCTGACTGGCCAGCATGCACCAGAGACCTCCCTATTTCCGTCTCTCCTGTGCTGGGGCTGTAAGCTCACAACACCGTGCCTGCCTTTTTCCATGGGTGCCGGTATTTGAATATGAATCTCTGTGCTTATGTAGCAAGTCCCTTCTACCCACTAAGCTGTTACTCCCCAGCCTCTCTGTCATTTTTAAAGCCAACTTGGAAGGGAGCCCACAGACTGCAGATGTCCACATTTCTAAACAGTTTGCCTCTTAAGGAGATCCTGCAAGAGGACCGGCAGCCTGACTGACCCATGCCCTGCACAGCTGTGAGGTGGTCACCCTTGGGTGCATTTCCTTCAGGGAAAAGCAGATCTGTTGAGGCTAGAAGACCGTCTAGGATCAAAAGCTTTAGGATTCTTATTTCCTAAGTGCAAGGGAAATTAGAGTTTCAGCCTGAGCAGATTGGGAATCTGTGTAGTGTCTGCTGTGAACCATGGGGCTGACCTTACAAAGTCCAGTCCCTTCCTTGAGCTCTTGGCCTTCCAGTATCTACCCTTTAACCCACCACAGAGAGGGTAATGCATCTGGTTACTGAAAGTCCTAGCCCAGCAGAGAAACTGACTCAGAGGCCAGAAATGTTTAAGCCTTCAGTGACCACACCCACAGTCCTCTGATTCCCACCTGCTCCCCTGCTCAGCTTCTCTGTCTCCTGCTCTTGGCTTTCAGTCTTTCCTGTTTGTTGTGGTTCAACCTTGGGGTAGCCATGTCTTGTGACTGAGCCAGTTCTGACCAGGCTCACCGAGCTCCCTGCTGAGCCAGATCCAGTGTCATCCATGTGCTTGTATGCGGGTTCCTTTTCTTGTCCATATCTGTTCCTGGTGGTCAGACTAGGCTGACATCTCTAAATGAGGCAGGCAGCAGCTAGAGGGACCCCAGCTGGGACAATGGACACCTGTCACTCCACTACAGTCTGATTTAGTGCAGGGCATTCAGAGCTGTAGCTCTCAGTCCTCAGACACATGCACAAAACTGCTGGGGTAGGCCTGGTGAGGTGACAATATTAGGGGAAGGAAGAGTCCTTCAGGACATCAGGATGACTCAAGGCAAAGACCTTGGATATGTGAAGCATTGGCCTGGAGTCCTGCATGAGGGAACGTGGCCTCAGTACTGAGCCGGGCTAGTGATGACCAGTTATAGGGCTTTGTCATTGTGGGGCAATGGCTCAAGGCAGTCTGACTTCTCCCTGCTCAGCATCTCTGGGAACAGTCCACAGAGTGTTTCAGACAGGTCCTGGCTCCCAGCCCTGGGCTGCAATGTTAGAACATCTCACTGTCCTTGTTGGACCCTGTGGGCTCACCGTGAGAGTGGCTGTGGGACCTTGGACTTCTGTAGGGGTGGGGGTGGCATGGGTAGCCTCCTGTCTTCCCTATCCTCTCTCCAAATCTGGCAGCCAGTACTCACTTGCCAGCACTGGAGGAAGCTTGGGTTTGGGGGCCTAGGCCTTCTGTAGTCTAAGGGAGTTGCTCTTTCTTGCCTACAGTCCTTGAGGTTCTTCAGCTCAGTGATGCTCTCCGGGATGACATCCTACCTGAGCTCGGGGTGCGGTTTGAAGACCATGAAGGTAGGTGATTCCTTGAGCTGCTCCCTATGGACAGGGAAAGCAGCTAGGTATAGGTAGGTGGTGAGAAGGATGCTGGGAGGCATGTGGCACAGCGGTAGTCTAGAGGTACCAGGGCATTGGTACTTTCATGTGTGGCTGAAGAATCCTAGGCAGAGCAGGTGTCCCCTTACCTCCATCTCTTCCAGGAGGCCTAGCTCACTACTCATTGTGGTGACATGTTCATTTCCACCAAGGACCAGGGCAGGCATTGCTCATTTTCTACTTGTAGCCTTCTCTCACACTTTTAGGGAGACAAGCTGTAGTGTATATACCCCAGTCTCACCATGTACTTTCTGACTTTTGGGCCTTTTGCTACACAGAAATGTTTTTTTCCTTCTAACCTTTATTCACTCTTTCTTTCTTTCTTTCTTTCTTTCTTTCTTTCTTTCTTTCTTTCTTTCTTTCTTTCTTTCTTTCTTTCTTTTTAGTTTTTCGAGACAGGGTTTCTCTGTAGCTTTGAAGCCTGTCCTGGAACTAGCTCTTGTAGACCAGGCTGGTCTCGAACTCACAGAGATCCGCCTGCCTCTGCCTCCAGAGTGCTGGGATTAAAGGCGTGCGCCACCATCGCCCGGCTCCCTGCTTCCTTCTAACTTTTTAATATTCAACGATTTGTACAGAGTAGGAACAAAGAGCTTGTCCAGGCCCCTGTGCTTGTCTGAAGGTGCCTAACAGCAATGGCTGACTTGAACTCTCGGCACATTTCCTTCCAAGGGTTTGCTCAGCACACCTAAGTATCTCTTTTCCTGATAGGAAGGGAAAAGATGGCAGAAGTGCACTGTTCTTACTTCCATTTTCAGGCAGCATCTTACTGTGTAGCCCAGGTTAGGCTTGAATTCATGGAAGTCCCTTACCTCAGCCTCCCAAGTGCTGGAATTGCAGGGGTGAACCACCACACCTGCTAAAATGTTGGGTTGAGTTTGATGACTCCAGACAGGCAAGGCCTTCCCATTTTACCCTGATTCTGTGATTTTGCAACACTAGTATGGAATTGCTGGGCCGCGGACAGTGCTAGACAGGGATTCTACCCCTGATCTGATGCCTGGCCCTGTTTTGTTTTCTTTTTACCAATTTTCTTCACCTGGCATTGATTTTGCCTGTGTGAACCAGAAGGAAGGGTCCCAGGTCCCCATGCAGGAGTGGTATTGGGGCCTTGGCTAACAGGCTCTGGCAGGCGGGCAGGTCACAGTTCCTGGGTCTCAACTGACTTTCTGCTTTCAGGACTGCCAACAGTGGTGAAGTTGGTAGACAGAGACACCTTACTGAAAGAGAAGGAAGAGAAGAAAAGGGTTAGTAAAGCAGTGATGGCGCTTGAGTTTGCTGAAAATGAAAACACTAATGCTGTTTGGTCTTTATGTTGCTTTAAGAGTGGATGTTTGGTCGGGCGGTGGTGGCACACACCTTTAATCCTAGCACTTGGGAGGCAGAGGCAGGCGGATCTCTGTGAGTTCTAGACCAGCCTGGTCTACAAGAGCTAGTTCCAGGACAGGCTCCAAAACCACAGAGAAACCCTATCTCGAAAAACCAAAAAAAGAAAAAAAAAAAAAAAGAGTGGATGTTTGTGCTTTGGTTAAAATTCCTGGGGCATAGTGGCACACTCCTTTAATCCCAGCACTGGGGAGTCAGAGGCAGCAAATCTTCAAGGCCAGCCTAGTCTACAGAATGAGTTCCAGGATAGCCAGGGCCACACAGAGAAGCCTTGTCTCGAAAAACAAAACAAACAAAAATATTCTGATTCTTATAAATATCATGAAGAAAAGTTAACTGGGTAGGCAACTACTTCAGAAAGGGGGTCCTTTGGCTGGGTGTGCTGGTCCATTCCTTTAATGCCAGCACCACTCAGGAGGCAGAGGCAGGCATATCTCTGTGAATTTGAGACCAGTCGAGTTTACATAGTCCGTTCCAGGCTACGTAGGAGCGTGACCTTGTCTCGACAAAATATAAAGGGTGGCAGTGGTCGAGTTAGCCTTTTATTTTATTGAATTTTATTGAAAGTGGTTTCATGTTGTACAAGCTCAGGATTTAGCCAAGGCTGGCCTTGAACTTCTGATCCTCCTGCCATCCCAAGTGCTAGGATTATAGGGCTGCACCACAATTCCCATTACAAGTTACCTCTTGTTTTCGCTTGTTTGTGCTTAAATTTTCATTTATTTATTTCTAGTGCGGTGTGAATATTTATGGGGGAGGCAGTAGGCAGGGTGGCTCAGCCCTTGGGGCAGCTTTTCTCATGGCTGCTAGTATTGCTCAGCTCCTTTTGGTTTCTCTGGGTTATACATCCCAACCCCTGAGAAACAAAGCATATTTCTTCCTATCTGTGTATGCATATGTGTGAGTGTCTGCCACAGGTGCTCAGGTACCCGCAGAGGCCAGAAATAGGCATTGGGTTCTAACATGGGTGCTAGGAATCATACAAGAGCAGCGAGTGCTATTCACTGCTGAGTCATCTTCCATCCCCATTTTTTTTTTAAAGTTCGATGTTATTCTCATTTATGTCCAAGTCTGTGTAAGTGTATGCCACATATTTATGAGTGCCCATGGAAGCCAGAACAAAGTGTCAGATCCCCATGAAGCTGCAGTTACAGGTAGTCGTGGCCTACCTAAAAAGGTGCTAGGAGCAAAGCTCTGGTCATTGGCAAGTGAATTGACACTACAGGCCCCCATCCTCTTGATGAACTTGATGCCCACTTGGCCTTGGAGGCTTTGATCACCTTCAGGGCATGAAGTCACACACCTGGATTATGGTCTGCATGAACTTGCTGTGTTCGGTGAGAGGCCAGCTATGCCTCGACTTGCTGAAGTTCTTTGTCACGTTGAGGAGGTCCACTCTGGGACAGCTCAGAGTCATGGCTGCTGCCCTGCAGTAGCTGCCATGACAGGAAGAACAGGACTGCATGGAACAAGTGACCAGTTCTTAAAAGGGATCGCTCAGCTAAAATGAAGCTCATCGCTTAGGAAGTGTGTGTGTGCTACCTGGCTCTCACCTGGTGCCACGTGTCCTAGGTGCTGCCGTTTGCCCTACTCATTCTGTCTGCTTGTCCTCCAAGTGTCCCTCTTTCTGTCCCCACTCTCAGTGATAGGTAGGGCCCTTGCAAGTAAGGACTTGGGTGCCAAAACATGTCATGGTAAGTGTAGTGATGCACATCTGTAACCTCAGTAACCAGGAGACCGAGCCAGGGGGATTACCGTGAGTTACAGGCTACCTGAGCTATACAGCATGACACTGTTTAAAATAAAAAAAAAAAAAAAGACTATCGTTCATAATTCTGGATGCAATGAATGGGCACCTTGGGGTCATTGTGCTCCATGGGCCAGGCACAGGCAGGCACCATTGGGAGGACACCAGCTTGGAGAGCAGGCTCAGGGCAGCTCTCCCTGAGACCTTTGAAAAAGGATCATAGCTGATAGTTGGGTGGCTGAGGGCTGACATACAGGGTTAAGGACAAGCACCATGGGTTAGGGCCTGGCAGGACAGCAGGGTGGGCTCATGTCTCAGTCGTGTGCTGCTTTCCTAGGCTGAAGAAGAGAAGAGGAGGAAGAAAGAGGAGGCGGCCAGGAAGAAACAGGAGCAAGAAGTAACTATTTTGCTTGTTTGTTTGGGGTGCAGGATCTCCTGTGCAAAAATCACACCTTTACCCCTGCGGCTCAGTGCTCTGTGCCTTCTTTGGGTACAGGCACCCCGAGGAGCCTCCCGGAGGGAGCTGGCCTCTGCCTCCACCCCTCAGTTGGTGTCCTGGCATCAGCAAAGGAAAGGTTACCCTTGGTGGGTCCCCAGTGCCAGCAATGCCACAGTCCTGCCATCTGAGGATTGCTGCAGGCCCACAGGCCTCTGGATGCTTAGGTGGTCTTTTTGCTCCCTGCTATTGGTTGCCCCTCCCAGTCTTTCTACTGGGCATATGTTGAGTTTAAGAGCTTGGAAGCCATGTGGTAGAAGTGGTACAGTAGGCAGCATGGTGGTGGGCAAGCTTGTGTGACATGTATGTTTACATGTGTGTGTATTGTGTGTTCTAGGCAGCTAAGCTGGCCAAGATGAAGATTCCACCCAGTGAGATGTTCCTGTCAGAAATCAACAAGTATTCCAAATTCGATGAAAATGTAAGACAACACCTCACTCTTCAAACTTTGGTCTCCCACGTCCTCCAAGATGGAGTCCAGGGACTTTCAGCCTTGGGCCAGTGGCCCTCCCTTTGAGGGGAAGGCTGTGAGGGCAGCTAGGACCATGCAGCTTCTGTCAGGGCAAAGGCTAAGCGAGACTCTCTCTGCTAGTTGTATGGTGAGCTCTAGCACTGGAATATGACCCCAGGTCCAGTTTAAGGAGACAAAAAGGAATCTGCAGGTTCTGTGGGGACCCTCCCAACTGCCCCAAGTGCAAGGTCATAACCCTGCCTCCACCCTGGAGGGTCTTGGTGTCCCTGTGGTGTCTCCCTGAAGACTCTTGGATTCATCATTACATAACTCACTGGCCACCTCTCAGCTGAGAAGTTGTAGGCCTAGTGGGACTTTGCTCCTCACTCTAAGAAGATTGCTCCAGACTTCAGCCACTTTTCTGTAGTCTCATCTACTAGACTCCCACTGCCAGATCAGGACTGAGGGTGATGACAGGACGGCCACACAGAGGTGTAGTGACACACACTGGTGATCCCAGCACTTCAGAGATGGAGGGAGGAGGATCTCATTTGAAGGCAGCCCCTATCGTTTTGTTTTGTTTTGTTTGAGACAGGGTTTCTCTGTAGCCCTGGCTGGCTGTCCTGGCACTCATTCTATAATCTAGGCTGGCCTTGAATTCAGAGATCTGTCTGCCTCTGTCTCCTGAGTACCCGGGTTAAAGGGATAAGCCACTGCTACACAGCCAGTTCCTGAGATGTGTTCCACCTCAGAAACACGTTAGATAAACAAGGGCCTGGATGCTGACCCTGAGTCTAAATATAGCCAAGTCAGGGAGAGAGGTGTTTTCTCTCAGCAGGGATGAGGCATGAATGGAAAAGGGAACTGATGGCATCTGTGTGGTCCTTGCAGGGTCTGCCTACCCACGACATTGAAGGCAAAGAGCTGAGCAAGGGGCAGGTCAAGAAGCTGAAGAAGGTCTTTGAAGCCCAGGAGAAACTGTACAAGGAGTATCTGCAGATGTTGCAGAACGGCAGCCTACAGTGATGCCACAGCAGCCCAGAATGGGTATACCTGCCAGCCTGGCCACCATGGACTGAGAGACACACCCACTCAGGCCCTGTGCCCTGGTCATGTTTACAGCTGTTCTCACACCTGAATCAGACAGAGTGGCAGCAGCTCTGGGACATTGATAATAAATTCTTCTGAACACTGAAGCCTGCTCTGCCCTCTCAGCACTTGGAGATCTGGCCTGTGGGTGCCTGGTCAACAGCTTACAACACAGGCCTCCTAGTCAATTGAGCCCCTCAGCCAGCCTGCCCAGGAATTTCCCTTACACTGGCGAGCTGGGCTAATCTCCGCTGCGTTGGCACATTTGGTGGTATTGGAGTAGGAAAAAGACTGAATCAGCCCAACAGATCCCCCTGAGCCTCAGACAAAGGCTGCTCAGTTGGCTTTCTAGCTCCAATGAACACACACTGCATGTTTCCCAGAGCAACTGACGGTGGCAGCAGGACAGATGCCCTCTGGGATAGGGCTCTGGCAAGCTGCCTGGGACTGCTGTTATGACAGCAAACCCAGATCAGCACCACTGGCTTGTGTGATAAGGGGTCTGTAGGTCCAGCCTCAAGTGTGTTTCCTCCCTACCTTTTCCCATCTGGTTGCTCACCCCTGCTAAGAATCAGCACCCATGCTGAATGTGTCTGACCTTCTCTGATAAAACAAGAGTATGGACAGCAGCCAGAACCTGAGTGGTACCTCTGGAGCTGTCCAGAGACACCGGGGGCAGATGTGGATTCCAGATGCCACAGAGCTCAAGTATACTGATGATTATATAAATCTGCTGCTTCTTTGTCCTTGTGACAGACTTTGTTGAGAACTATCCTGGAGACACCCGTACCAGCCTGGGGTACCATAGGCATGTGTTGTAGAGTATAGCGGGGTGAGTCTGCAGGAGGCCATACAGTCTTTCAGATAGTCATAATCAGATGGGGTCTTCTGAGGTGTGCACCTTGTATGTCTGTGGTCTCTCATGAGTCTCTAGAGTGACTATATCTCAACTGGTGGCTGTCCTGAGAGAGAAGGCACTGGGTGGCTTTTAGGATGGAGCCTCACAGGTCAGCACAGTCCCTTCTTGGACTCTGTTTAGAAGCCTCTCAGGTTTACCCTTGTCACCATGAGGAGATAAGACAAGTTCCCAGAAAGGGTGGGGGCGGGAGAGACCACAATGGCACAAGTCAGGCAGTTTCTAAGAAGAGGTTCACCGTGTCTCAGCTGCAGTAGTACAGAGGGGTGAGTGAGCTGCAGCTTGGCTGTTGGCATCCATAGGTATTGCACACACAGGCAAGACCACTGAGCTACACCCCAGCTATGATCTGAGGCAAAGAAAGGAATAGCAGTGCATTGTGATTGGACAGAGCAGGATGGAGGTACCAACACTGGGTCCCTCCAGGCGTTACAGATGGGGAAACTGGCAGAATGCAGCAGCAGGGCAGGCTAGACCTTAAGTCTTCTCCTCCAGCAGTGGGCATCTATTCAATAGGATAATTAATATGGGAAGACCCCTCTTAGTTCTGGGCAGGACTATTCCCTGGATGGGGGATCCAGGACTGTATGAAGAGTAGAAAGTGGGCTGAGCACCAGCACTGCTGCTTGGGACTGTGGACTTATGGCCAGCGGGTCCTGTCACCTTGACATCCCCACTGTGATGGACTGAGTGTACCTTGTACTGTGAGTTAAACACTTTCTCCTTTAGGTTGCTTGACAGGTGAAAACTCAAGACAGCAACCCCTCCTGTTGTCAACGCCTTCATTAGGAGCATTCAGGTCGTTTTAAACTTTTTTCTGTTATAAATAGTACAGGGCAGGAATTGTTTGCTAAAAATATCAGACCAAAATTGTTTCTAAAGCATCCTTCACCCGATGAAAGGATTAATTTCTAAGAAATGATCATTTGTTCATCCCTGCCTGGGAACCTTCTTTGCTAGCCAAATTCTATAAACCAACACGAGGAGGCTGAGGCTGGTACCCAAGTCCCTGCTCTGGCTCCAGGCTACATAGAGGAAATACCACCTTGGTCCCCTTGTCAGCAGCAATGGAGAGACAGCCCAGTACTGCTACCAGTAGCCTGATGCATTTCTTTCCTTCTTAGGGACCTCCACTCAGGTAAAACTGACTATGCTATAGAAAAGAATTTCAGGACAAGAAGCAAAGTTAGCATGAATATTAAACAGAGATAAGAAATAATTCATGCTTTGGATCTAAGTGTAGGTATTGATCAAGAGAGACAGTCTTGGATGAAATACAGTTCATACTAAGACTTGAGTGCAGGCTACAGGAAGCCAGGCTTACCCTCCCTTAAGAGCAGCTGTTGAAGGAACCCTGTGACTCTCTAGGTCAGACTACTGAAAGGATTTACAGTAACAGTTAAATATTAAGTTAAATTGGGAAGTGGTGGCACACGCCTTTAATCCAGAGAGGCAGAGGCAGGTGGGTCTCTGAGTTCAAGGCCAACCTGGTCCACTGAGCAAGTTTCAGGACAGCGAGGAATACACAGAGAAACCCAGTCTCAAAAAAACAAAATAATAATAATAAAAAAGATTAAACTTAAAATTTAGTAAAGTTAAACATTATATAGTACCATGCTTTAGACCCCCCCCATGCCCATGCTTTGGGCTGTGCCTCTATGCTGAGCACCTCTCAACCCCAGTGCTTCAATCTATATTCAGAAAGCTTTATTAATCCAGGTATGGTGGTGACTCTTTAATCCTAGTACCCAGGAGGCAGAAGCAGGCAGACATTTGTGAGTTCAAGGACAGCCAGGGTTATGTAGTGTGACCCTGTCTGAAAAATAAATAATTAAGTATCTTAAGCTTGTTACCAGTTGTTGGGATCTGAGTGTGTAAGACTTTAAGACAATCCTGAAGCCATTTTTGACAATTCTGAATCCTCTCAGCCTCTGTGCCATAGTGCTTCCCCTCCTCCCCTGGGAACCAAGGACCTAACAGCTACACTCGCATGTACTCAGTTCCTGAACAATTACCCATATACGTATGCTTTGGTTCGGTCCCCTGGGAAACGGGGTCAAAATGACCTCTTACCTCATCTGATCTGGCAACAGCTCTCCAGTCAATTATTGGTATTAGCCCTTTCAAATAAGCCAATCAGAATAGTCAAAGAACAACCCCCCTTGCTTCTGTGGCCCCTTTAAAAGTAGACTGTACCCACTATTCGAGGTCCCTCGGCTTCCCGAATGCTGGGGGACCCTGTCATGACAGAATTAATAAAATCCTCATGCTTTTGCATCGGCTGTAGTGTGTGAGATGGTCTCTGGGGGCGACTCCTTCTCGGTGTTTGGACGCCAGAGTCCAACAAGTGTTTTATTCAAGGAGTCGAAATAAGGATACACACAATGCAAAGGAGCAAGGAATTTATACAAAAGAGTAATAAAACAGATCAGAAATACTCTGTGTCAGTGGACCCTAAAGTGAGAAAGTGTTCAAGGCCCAAGTTCCTTTTATTTTTTAAGACTTAAAAATTTTTATATGTTTGGGGCTCTCAGAGACTGCCAAGTGCAGTATTAAAAAGAGGGGTGTATGGGGGCTGGAGAGATGGCTCAGTGGTTAAGAGCATTGCCTGCTCTTCCAAAGGTCCTGAGTTCAATTCCCAGCAACCACATGGTGGCTCACAACCATCTGTAATAAGGTCTGGTGCCCTCTTCTGGCCTTCGGCATACACACAGAATGGGGGTGTATGTATATACAGCCCAAACCAAATGGAGTCCCTGGCTACTAAACTATTTTCTATGCTTGTCTACTTTAACCACGTCCTATTCATCCCACTCCCCAAATAAAAATTACGTAAAAACACATGAACTTATTAACTTTTTTTAATTTTGTAAATGAAACTTTCTATAGTACATAGTTTCAATTTAGGGATGGGAGAGAAGTAATAGAATAAGACTCAGCCCTGTAAACCCTGGACTTCAGTAACCACACTTCGAGTCTTTTTTTTTTTTTTTTTTTTTTTTTTTTTTTTGAGTTTTACTTAGGAGACAAGGTCTCACGTAGCTTAGGCTGGCCCTAAACTTGCTGTGTAGCTAAAAGTGACAACAGGCTCAGGCTCTCACCTCCACCTCTCATCTAACACGCCCCACCACACCCAGTTGTTTTCAAAGCCCGTTTGTAGACGTTAGGAAGACGTGCTCGCGTCTGCAGCTAGTTTGTTTTTTATAGGGTGTGTTGAAGTTTTCTGAGGCTCAGCAGGGCACCCGCAGGGCAGGTACACATCATCTGACTGAGGTCCGAAAGGCTTTGGGAGGTAAGCGGTGCTTTCCCTGGGCCAGGGGCGGCAGGTAACCTGGGGAGAGCACTGCCGACAGGCCCAGGACACAATCTTGGAATCTGCTGTATGCTCAAAATACAAGAGAGCCCTAAGACCTAAACGCGCCCCAGCAGCCCCTTTAAAAAGGCGCGGAACTGCGCGTGCGCCGGGATGTACGTCACGCCCTCATTTACATATAGCTCGCGGGCTTGAGCACGGCGCCGTACTCCCTCAACGGCTTTTGATTGGATGCCGCCTCTACCAGCGCCGAGGCGCAGTTGACAGACAGCTCTATTGCCAATTCACAGACCGTTTTGTTCGCAGAGGGCGGAGCCTAGCGACGCGGCCAGTGGCAGGTGGTCTTGTTGGCGGCCACGGCGGCGTAGCCCCGGAGCGAGCTTCACACGGGCGCCAGTGCCGCAGGAGGCGCGAGGTGAGGTCCCGGCGGGTAACGGCGCGGCGGGCGACTGGACAGGGGCCGGGGCGGCGGAGGCGGGGGGAGGGTGGCGCGGGCTGGCCGACGCGCCATGGCGGCCAGCAGAGGCGAGCGGCGGCTAGATCAGCCGTCCGGGTGGCGGGTGGCGGCGGATGGCGGGCCCGTCCCTCTTCCGCGCCGCCCCGCCCCCGGCTGAAGGTCAGCGCGCTTTGTTCCCGCCGCCTGTGAGCGCACGCGAAGCCGCGCAGGCGGTTCCCTGAGGGGGACAAGGCCTCCCCAGCGAGGTGGGCCTGGGTGCGCCTCGTCTTGAAACCGCGCCTGGGAAGGAAGGGGTTCCCGGCGTTCGCACGGCCGGGCCACCGCCTCGCCCTTCCGGGCTTTCCACGGTCTCCGCACAGCGCCCCGGTCCGACTCTGGGAGCCTGCGGCGGAGGCGGAGCCGACTTAGTGACACACACGGAGCTTTCCGACCCGTGGGCCCGCCCCTAAAGGGTGCCGGGTCGCTAGCAGCACCCCTTCTCCCCAGGGGTATCCTTGGGGCCGTCGGCCTGTGCTTCCTCCAACTCTGCTTGGCTTTGCTACCTCGGAGGAATTCCTGCGGTAGCTTACTTCACGAACGCCACTGTGACAGGCGCCTGCAAATTCCCTAGCAAAAAGGCCCAAGTTGAAGTTCTTGGTCCTAAAAGTTACATGCTTTTAAATTACTGCCGCCACCTTGTCATAGTGGCTGCCTCCTCTTGGTGACTAATCTCTGCTTACTACACACCAGGGGCTCGTTAAATCTCCCGACGTGCCTTAACTCCATTCACAATAATCTGTGATATAGGTGCAACAGGCTGAGTGAGTATGCCTCAACATGAAACGCCTGGATTCGGAAGCCGTTTAGTTTATGGAATAGTTGTAGGCTTGGCAGATTGGCGTTCCTAATCCGACAAGTCCAGAATCGGGCATAAAACTCGAAGAGAAGTGGGCTTTGTAGTGTTGTGAATTTTTGGCATGGGAATGTTCGGTTTGTATTGCAAAGTAAAGCCCTGTTATGTGAAGCGTGATGGTTTGACTGTGATGGTAGCTTGAATTTAAACTCAAGTGGATTTAACCTCAGTTGCTGTTAATAAACTCTGTGCAGATGAACAGTGAGATTCAGAGAAAAGAGGGCAGTGATAGGATTGGGATATGGTCCAAAATTAAAGAGGAATGGCTCATCTGGCAGGGGCTGTTGCATCATTTTAATGCCTTTGTCTAAAGTGGCCACTGTCAAACTCTGTTGTGAGCCATTTTTTCCCTTGGTTGACCAATATTATTGGTTCACAATGTTATGACATCTAAACCCTTACATTTTGATGTGTTAGCTTTATTTTTTATTTTTATTTTTGGTTTTTCGAGACAGGGTTTCTCTGTGATTTTGGAGCCTGTCCTGGAACTAGCTCTTGTAGACCAGGCTGGTCGAGAACTCACGGAGATCCGCCTGCCTCTGCCTCCCAAGTGCTGGGATTAAAGGCGTGCGCCACCTCTGCCCAGCCGAAGTGTTAACTTTAAATCTTGACCTGTTTTTCAAATGTATAGAATAACTGGTGAATCATTTTCTGGATTAATAACTTTGACCACCAAAATTTTGGAAAAGATGTATGTATTTTGAGATTTCCTCAGAAAACATGGCCATTATGACTTGTGGGTTTGGCTGTTTAGATTTGTGTAGTTGAGAAAATAGAGTTTACAGGTTTATACTTCTGCAGAGATGCAATTCTTAGGGATGAGATAGTTCACAATTCAGTATGATTTTGTGTTTGAATCTTAAAATGTCCCAACTAAGATAGGCGTGGTGTACAGTCTATAGCCCCAGCTGTTCTAGAACTCAGACTTGGCAACACAGCAAGATCCAGACTCAATTTTTAAACTGTTTGCCTCTTAGTGAGAGGTAACTGAGAGTACTGAGTCCCTGCTTGCTGTTTTCATGCTGTGTAGTTTAAAGTCTGTACAAAAGTTTGCGTTTTACTTGTTTAAAAAAAAATGCCAGAGTACCTAAAATTTTTGCTTTGGAAGAAAAAAATTCTGGACAAGAGAGTAATTTAGGGCCTGGAGAGGTGGCTCAGTGGTTAAGAACATTGGGTAGTATTGCAAAGGACCCAGGTTTGAGTCCCAGCACTCACAGGGTGGCTCCTAATGGTCTCTAACTCCAGTCCTAGGGATGCGATGCCATCTTCTGGCTTCTGCAAGTAGTACACAGACAAGCGGGGAAAACACCCATACACATAAAATAAACTACAATTTTAAGAGTAGTTTAAATCCCTGAAGGTCTAAGGGTTGCTCTCTGTGTGAAGTAAACAGGTAGGTGAATGCTTTTACAGCTTGGATCCCCAAGTGACATATTCTGAAAAGAGGCAGTAATCATGAGCTGTTGGGGAACACTAACCCATGAGTACAAACTTTTTGTTTATTTAAAAGGAAGTCTAAGTGGGTGTGCTGCCTTACATCTGTACCCAGCACTTGGGAGGTAGCTCAAGCAGGAAGCTCGAGGCCAGCCAGCACTAAAGCAAGAAAGATGAAGTGCATTTCAGCCGTTAGAATTGAAGCTGATGTCAGTTTGCTGCTTGTACTGTAAGGGGAGGAAGCTACTAGGGGAACCGCAGGGGCTTCCTCTTCTACCCCCAAAGTTTTGCATGGGGCTACCTGTTAGTGATAGTATATGGAGGCTCCCTGAACTACACTTGGAAGACCTGCTGTTGATCAGGCCTGTTTTGATGGGTGAGTAGTGGAATCTTGGATTGAACTTTTAGGCATTTTTGAAGCGTAATTGGTGGTAGCATAGGTTTGTTTTCGTTTTTAGCGGCCAGGATCTCTCTTGCCTTTAGTAAAGGAAACTCAGCTGCTTCACTTTGGTCTGCTATTGAATTTTACTTTGGGTGAGTTTGGAGTAACAGGAGGGACATCGTATTTTTTTTTTTTTTTTTCGATTTTTCAAGACAGGGTTTCTCCTTCCTGTCCTAGAAGTAGCTCTTGTAGACCAGGCTGGCCTCGAACTCACAGAGATCCGCCTGCCTCTGCCTCCCTCCCATGTGCTGGGATTAAAGGCATGCGCCACCACCGCCCGGCCACATTGTATTTTTTATAGTGCGAAGACTACAAAAGATAGCTTTGTGAACTTTACCTTTTGATCCTGTGTGCTGTCTACTCTTAAATTTCTTCTTGTCTATTGTGTCAACTGTTGTAACTGAGTGTCTGCCCATCCTGTGTCCAGGAAACTCAGTCTAGTGAGGTGAGATTGGCCCTGAGCCTTATGTTCGAAGTCACACCCAGTTACTTCAGAGTAGTAGATATTGTAAGCAAGTGTGACTAAGGAAATGTCTTCATCCTGTGTCTTCCAGAGTTGCCTAGGATAGGCCAAGGTATGCAAAGGATTCCTGTTTAGTGCCATTGTACTTACAGGTAACAGCAGGGATTAACTGAGCAGAGATTTCTGCCTACCTGTCTCTTGCCAAGTCCTTTGCTGAGCCCTGAACTCTGCACTGAGTCAGTGGACATGCTCTACCCCCCTGGAATTCCCTTCATC